CTCTACCTACAGCAGACTGGCATCAGATAGATCTCACCCCATCCATAGCAATTTTATGGTTATTCATGTGCCATAACATCGAGCCTATATCCCACAGAACAACATTTACAAATCCAAAGGCCGGATTCATATACCATTTGGTTAGAGGAAACAAGATTGATCTAGCCACGTACATCTACAACCAAATTCATGGTACAGGCACTTGGAGTGATAGACACTACTCACTAATTTTTCTCAGTCTGATAAATGGAATATGTAGAGCAGCAGGCATACAAATCCAACCTGGGGAAGCACCAGAAAAGCCAAGCCCCTTTATCAAGCAATCCACACTAGAGGCCCAAGACCGAGCGAGACTGAAGCACCAACAGGAATTAGAAAACGCACGACGACGACAGCAATTGAATGAGGAAGGTCAAGCAGATGCAGACCTTGATATGCCTCAAATTCCTCCACCACCACCCCAGGTTGATATGGACAATCAGGTCTTGAGGCAGATATTCGTCACCACCACTGGAACTAGCCGGGACATACAACATCTCCAGCAGAGTTTCGAGACCATGGCTACCACTGTTGACAAAGTGCAGAGAGACCTCTACTCTTCCCGGGACTACACAAGGGGTGCTTTGAATGAAACCACAGCGGCATGAAGGGAAGTGGAGACCATGAATGGTAGGTTCAACATGTATGCTGGGAGAATGGATGGCATACCGTGGCGAGTGAACGAAACCTGGGATCGATTGGGAAGTATGGAGAATAAGCTTCAATCCATTTAGGCCGAGCAAGCACAGCAGACAAAGTTGATGAGACAAATCCTATCTAGCCTTCCGTCTCCTCCTGAAGATCATGCTGCGGGTCCCAACTACACACCACAACCATCACTTTGATCAGGGGAGTGTTGTTTACCTCTATTTGCCAAGTTGTGTATATATTTTTAAATTATGCTTTTCTAACTTTACATTTACATTGAGGACAATGTACTGTATAAGTTTGGGGGATGGTAGCATAATTTTTAAACAAATATTCGGCATGTAATTAATATGCATTTTCATAATCAATCATTAAATTGACTACATTCTGCATGATGCATGCGTGATGAATGAGTGTTGATTTTACTTTTGCATGCTTGTGTGGGTTTGGTAGCCTTACCGGCTATGATGTGATTATTGGACATGTGTAAACTAGAACTGTGGATATAGTACAGGATTTAATTATCGAATACTTATTGATGCAATGCTTGACATTCTTTTGCACACCACTCATGCTTTCATGTTAAGTTATTGATTGGGATTGTTGGAGTAAAATATGAGAAACCTAGGTTTACCCTCTATAACATTAACCCGTTAAACCACCTTAAGATAGTTTGGAGATGGTTGAGCCACTATAGGGAAACATGGAGATAAGTAGAGGCTCAGTGCATGAAATTATATTGTGTGGATTGCCTAGACCCAGAAGGTGAGAAATAGGTGAAAGCTTTAAGTTGAGGACGGTTGTTGAGATCAAATGTCTAGAAAAACAAGTAAAGGGCATAAAATAAACATGGGAAAATCATCACTTCTCTCAAAAGCCTTTATCACTCGAGCAAGTAAGTCTGTTAGGGTTTAAAACCTGATATCCTAAAGCCAACTGGTTTGGGAATTATCGGCCTAAAACTCGTTACAGGGGTCATATAGAAAGCAAGAAAAAGGAGAAGTTGACAAAAATTCATCTTATCGAGCCTTTATAACTCGAGTGAATAAGGTTGCAAGGGTTTAAAACCCGGTACCCTAAGACCAACTGGTTTGGGAGTCATCGCCTAAAACTCATTACACGGGTTATATAGAAAGCAAATGAGAAGATGAGGAAAAAAAACGGGGGCCCTTGTTGGACATTTGGTTGATATAACTTTAACCTTGATGCGAGGTAAGTAGTTTAGTTTGAGCCTAAAGGTTGAAACAATCAAATTAAAGAGAGTCTCTACTTGTTGATATGTGTACTTGTAAGGGTAAAATCTATCCAAACTAAGAGAGGGTAATGATTATAGTTGTTAAACTCCCAATCTTAGAACACACCCCGAGATAATAGAGTGAAAAGAATAAGTTTGGGGGGTTGTGTATCTCTCGAGTGATGCAAGGATAAATTTGACCACTATGGGTCGGGAATAAACCATTCATAAGCTTGATATGTTGACATGAGTTCACACACACACGTTGAGTATTGTATTTGATGAGTAAATGTTAATTTTATTCTCGCACTATTGATATCGTTTTATTGTTAATGCTAAGTTCCAATCCCGAGACACGGCAAGCTATTAAGCCATGTTTGTTTAGCATTGAGTCACTGCATTGTTTGAGGACAAACAATAGTTTAAGTTTGGGGGATTTGATAAGTATGTTTTTACACACTTATTTGGTTCACAAACTTGACTTAAACATGGATAAAATGGTTGAATTGTAACTTAATCTAGTTAAATTCATGCAATGTAGGTATTTCAATAGAAATTGTGGAATTCAGGAGAAAAGAGCCGAAGAAGGACCAAAACGCAACAAAGTGATAGTTCGAGGAACAAAGGTGCAAATATTGAGAAGTTGAGCTAAATGCAAAACGAGAGTAACAACATGCCGAGTATGAGCTTAAGGACAAAGCAAAACAATTGGAGGGAGAAAGTATTGAAGAGGGACTGAAATGAAGACAATTGAAAGTTGGAGGACTAAAGTGCAAATACTCGTAAGATGAGTCGAATGAGTGGCATGAGATTTGATGGTGTCAATCATCAATTGGAGGATAAAAATTTGTTGAAAAGATGAAGAAATCGAAGAAAGAAGTCAAAAGAAGCAACAAGAAAAGTTCGGGGACCAAAATGAAGGGACTTCATAGATGGCCAAACTATGTGACCGCATAGTGTAACCATCTATGCGGTCGCATAGATGGATGCAGGGAAAAATTGGTGAATTTCAAGTGACCTATGCGACCGCATAGGATCCTTTTATGCGGTCGCATAGGTATAATTTCGGGGCGTTTCTGCAGTTTCCTTTTTCGACTCCAACTCTTTTTTTAACCTAATTTGGACGCGATATAAGATACGAAAATACGTCCAGAAGAGGGGGGAACGACCAGAGAGACGAATTGGAGGCACAAAAACACAATCTTGGGTTGATTTCATAAGGATTCAAGAAGGATTTCAAGATTTCATACAAGAAAACAAGGATTTTCATACGGGTGTATTTTTTTATATCTTTTAATTTCATTTTTATTTCTTGATTCAGTGATCATGATTGTAGGCTAGGGTTTTAAATTCATTAGGAGATCGATGAACCTTTGATTACTATTAAATTCTTATATCTCATGAATTCAATATAAAGTTTCGTTTGGATAATATGCTTGATTTATATGTTTTCATTGCATCCATAATTATTGGTCATATATTATGTGAGATTAGATGATTTATTTCTTACATTCGAGAGAAGTGGAATAGATTCGATAAAATATAAATCAATATAGGGTCCGATAGGGAATAGAAATATACCCCTATGCTTTATGCAATTCGTTAATTGTTCATAGAAATTCATGCATTCTTGTATATTTGCATCATCCATAGAAATATAGGCTGGTGGTATGCAAGAGTAGGTTTAATATATATCGAGAGAGTATATTGGATAGGTTTAGGAACATTGAATTGACATTTTTCCATCGATTCATTGAATTTGTGAAATTAGGGTTTTTGGTAATCAATTGGGGATTCGAGATCCTAATTATTCTATTTCAATTTATTTCTATACATTAACTTCCAAAATTGCATATTTACATTTTAATTGAGTTGTTGAGTCATTTAATTAGGGGAATTTCGAATTTTTTTTTTTATTTCGAAATTAGGGTTTTCTTCAAAATTAGGGTTTCAAATTTGGGGTTTCTTCCAAAATTAGGGCTTTTCACACTTAGACCAAATTTTCATTCAATTGGATTCGGTTAAGGTCACATTAGTTTAATTAGAGCTAATTCAATCCTTGTGGGAACGATACTTGGATTCATAGTCCATTTTACTACTTGCTAACGAACCGTACACTTGTGGTGTGATTTTAAAATTAAAAGAAATGTTTCGTGAACACTTTACATGCAAAATATTTTATTATGTGAATGTATTGTTAAAAATGAGTATGAGAATTAAAGAGTTCTACTTTAAAGGGAGACAAACAGGGGCTAAAAGTGTTCATAAATAATGGGAAATTCATCTTCCATGATGTTATATATATGTCAGCCAATTCAAATCAGAAACTTAAAAAATCTACTTCCACAAGAACCAGAAAGATGAAAATAAATCCTTAAATCTTTACCATTTAGTTCCTTCTATAAAGAATTTCTTGTAAATCAGAAAGTGAATTAAATATAATCTTACCTTCGGGGTACCAACAGCTACGCTGATATCTATGTAGTCTCTATAAATGATATCATCGCCGTCAATAACAGCGTTTACTATTGGCTGATTCTGGCGAGCACTCACGGCTGCCTGAACTCATAGAGGAAAAGAGTTAATAAATCCTGACACAGATAAACAAAGGAAAATGTTGAAACGGGATTACAGGATATCATACTTTCACAAATCCAGACATAAGTCCCAATTTCATCCCATGTTTTTCAACAAATGCATCCTAGTAATTCATCAGATTAGTCCTGCAATAAGTAAATCACAGAGTACAACTGTCACATTTTTATTTTATAAGAAAATAAGACTACAGAACACAAGTCAACCTTTCCAATCTGGTCCATGAACAACTAGTTAACTAAATAGTTGTAACAGGAAATGGAAGTTACTACAACGGAGTAAATACACCAAGCACCTTCCTATTTTTAAAATAGATACTCTTGACCAATGGCTTGGAGTTATAAGATTAACAAGAAATAAAAAATTCTAGTTACATTTTGGTTGATTTTTTCAACTGAATCATCTAATACAAGGCCTTCTACAGATTACAGATGTTGACATTTCCAACCACATTAACTTAAAACACAACTTGAAACTAAGATACTGAATCAAGGACATTCATGTCCCTTGATAGAATCGAGACATGACAAAGAAATAAATCAATCCTTGTTGAGGAGCTACAATAAATAAATAAATAATTCTTGTTGAGAACCTCCTACTTCAAGAATAACCAAGATTGACTAAATCGAACCAAAGATCAATATCTTTTGAATGATTTTCCTTTCGTAGATTTAGCTCATGCTAGAAACCCAGCTTGACTAGTTGACCTAGATCAGTAATCAGCAACGACTAAGTCTTTGATGTCTAGCATAGATCCCATCTTTGTCTTTAAACAAAAGAGAACATAATTTAGCAGATGGTAAAGAGGAAAGTTGAACTTACATATCAACTTCATTAAATGTTGTCAACAATGCAAATGTGTTTTGAGAATCTTTTAACGGCGTGGCAACTCGTTTTCTAAGCCTTGTCATAGGCACCTGCCATTATTGTAAATTGTAGATTTACTGATACAAGCTGATTAAAATGCCTATTGCTTAAACATACTCTAGGGAATGATAAAAAAATTTATTAGCATCAACATTCAGCATGAAGAGAATGTAAGACTCACTCGTCTTTCCCTTTCTTTAGGAGGCAGCTGGGGCTCTGTAGCGAAGGATTTAGAAGGTAAGGAAGATTCTTTAGGCTTTTGTACAACAGGTGTTGTTTCAACTTTAGGCTTTGGCTTCTCCTCCTCCTCTTCAGCAGGAGACAATGGCGATGGAGTAGCCTTATCAGATGGTGCAACATACAGCTTCACCAGATTTCGATATGACAGCAATCTTTGAGTCAGGTTCCACAGTATCTCCTTCCTTAGATAAGAACTGTCAATTGCTAATAAACAATATCAGCTAGAAATTGACCAGGAAAGGTCGAAGAGCACAAAAAAATAAGCAGTATAGTCCCATGTCAATGAAGTTCTACCTTCTGAATTAACCTGCTTCAGGACTATTAACATCAATGGTGATCTGATTGAAGACAAACAACCCAATAGTCAATTATTATGGCATTGGTAACTTGAAAAAGTTACGATGCTAAAAATTGGATCTTTTTTATTACACATATCATTGATCTATAAAATGACGCCTAAAATTACCACACATAAACTAAATTACTACCACTCTCGTGCATCAGTTACTGAGGAGCAATAACAGATGATTATGTTGCACAATTTAAGGCACGTGTGATAAAGAATCTAAAAGGTGGATAAAAATATGTACTCAGAATTACCTGCTACTAAGAGTTAGTACCTTATCCGTTTCAACCTGGGCAATTGGCTCGTTAACTTCTACTCTGTCCCCAGGTTCTGCTCTCAACACCAAAAATAAAAACAAAACCAATGGCTTAGACGTTAGATAATGATTGTTTAAGTAAAGACATATAGGTCAAGAAAGGTACAGACCTATCAAGAAAGTTGCCAGTGTGCCATCAGTTATAGATTCACCCATATGAGGTACAACAGCTTCAACAAGATTGCCTACTGACATGTATTGAAAGAAGGGGAAATATTTAGCAGCATGGGAGTTATAGTAACTATACTGTAAAGAAATAACTTATGCACATTAATATATTCAAAGCCTTCTGTTAATAATGATGATCCATCCTCATTCACAAGTTAGGGAGAGTAACAAATCACAAATTCATATCCATTGCACATTTCATTCATTATGACATGAGATCGACTAAACGTTGTCTCAAATCAAAATTGTCCAGGACATGGAAAAGATGATCAAACGATGTGTCAAATATAAATTAACATGCAACAAAAAATGCATAAATTCAAGTCAACATCCTACTGCTGCTGGAACAGAATGACCTATTCCATATCTGCGTGTTGACTCAAATGTAGGCACTAGTTGGAAGGGGTTTGGACGAGTTTGGATGGAGGTGTATGTGTATCACATTGTTTGAGGAATTTTTATCTAAGACTTCTTTCATTTGATGTGGAGCAAAACGATTGATTAACGAAATGTGGTAATGAATAAATGCTAAAGATCTTTAATACAAATAAAATGAATTTGTTTATATTAATTGTGGTAAAAATATAACCACTTTTAGTTTTAATAAAACAAAAAAATCCACTCCCCTAAAAGTTTTAATAATAGTCTATCATACATGATTAACGAAGAGGACACTAATTAACATATCTTCTTCTTCCATTTTGATCAATAAATGTAAATTACTATAAATCAAAACTCATGTAGCAATACAACTGGCATACTTGGATAAAGAAGTAACAAGTGAAATACAATTACTCCGAGCATACCGAGCTAACAAAAGAAAATATGTACAAACAATAGTCACTATAGTCTGAAAATCAAAGACTCAAAATAAATTAAAACATGCAAGTACAAAGCAAATATAAACTTGTACATATGTGTGTTTAATTCGTCTTAGTATGCTATTCACTTGCAGACTAAGTTCCTCAAAAACATTCCTATTACGTGCCATCCAAATATGATAATGGTACTAGCAAGCGCAATTCTTTTAGATTTACTTTGTCAAGATGTTCCTCAGGCCTCTTTTTTGATCCACTTCAAAGCAGAAATTGTGGTCATCGATCTTCTAATCCCCATCCAAGCTTTAATCTTCAACTATATGTAAGAGGTGAATGAGCATTTTTAAAATAAATGTTGTTCCGTTTCCAAATGTGTCCCACAAAAAAACACAATTCTTGTCAATGTTAAGATGTGACAACCTATTCTTAGTGTATAGCCTTGATTGGGCACCCACCTATAAAATAAAAGCATGTTTTGGAGTAATAAAAGTCCCGAAATCTCCTTCGTCCAGACCTTCTTGTCTCCCTTTAGCTGAAAATGCTCAAAGGCAACCACGATGCAAAACTGTCATGCACTATTCCAGCTAGACAGTACGTTTTCAACAGTTTGGACAGTTCGATCGTTCTCCCCAATAATGTCCCTGATTTTAAACATTATTTTGAGCAGCGGAGAATAATTTTTCATTGACGTGATTTGGCTAGAGGTGTCTTTCTTGGCATGAATGTTCCAAAGTGATTTGGCTAGAAGAGCTGAATTCTAGCTTTTGATATGTCTAAAACTAAGGCCACCATCCTCCTTTGGTAGGTAAACAATACTCCATGCAACCAAGGGTTTTTAAGTACCCCAAAGAAAATTTCAACAAATATTAATAATCCTCGAGGTTACCGTAGATGGAATAGGGAATAGAGAGAGCCAAAAATACTCTACACCTTATAGAACGACTGTAACAAGTTCTGCCCTACCCGCATAAGAAAGTGAACATCTTGTCCAAGCACAAATGTAAGTTGAGAATTTATCAAGGAGCATTTCATAATAGCTGATTTTTAGTTTCTCAATGGCAAGTGGAATTTCCAAATATCAAAATGGCATAGAACCTTTAGAAATGTTGGTCATTGCAATGATATCCTCTAATTCTTGCCCATGAATACTTGCCGTGTACATGCTTGATTTGTTGGCATTCATTCTAAGTCCCGATACATCTCCAAACTTAGAAAGATATTTCATTAAAATACTGATCGAAATTGAATCACCCCTTGCAAAAAAACATCAAATCATCGGCAAATACCAAATGCGTAATCTTTAATGGGCCGCATTTACGATGGTAGTTAAAATCACCATTCTCAGTATCTCCCTCCAACATTCTCGAGAAATATTCAAGGTAAAGAACAAAGAAGAATGGAGATAACAGATCACATTGTCTAAGCCATTTTTTACCCTTAAAGAAGCCATGTATACTACCATTGATTACAATGGAGTAAGTAGGAGTAGAAATGCATTCCATAATCCAACCAATAAACTTAGCTGGAAAATCCAAACCTTCAAGTACGCTTTTGAGAAAATCCCAATTCATTGAATCATATGCTTTCCTTAAATCAATTTTAAGAAGGCATCTCGTGGAACTCTTTTTCGATTATATTGTCTCAAAAGCTCTTCCTTCCACAAATGCTACTTGTGTTTGATCAACAATATATCCAAATATAGACCCCAATAAAGAAGCAAAGATCTTGGTAATCACCTTGTGAAATGGTTTACAACATGCTATCTCCCTATAGTCTCCAACAAAAGATGAGTGATTTGTCTTAGGAGCCAAGGCAATCATTGTATCATTAGTTTGTTTAAGAAGGTCAACTCTTCCCATTTTCTTAAACTCACATCCAACAATATCTCAAGCCTTTTTAAAGAAGTAAGATGTATATCCAACTGGGCCCAATGATTTATCATTCCCAATAATAAATAAAGCCTCTTTAATCTTTTGATCCGAAATTTCACGAATAAGTGATAAAACATGCTCTTCCTTTAGCACGGGTCCATTATTCACAACCTTAGCCTCAATAGGTCGGACAATGTAACTTTTTCCTAGCAAGTCATTAGAAAAGTACATGAATTCATCCACCACTTTCTTTTAGAAGAAGTATAGGTCCCATCCCTTTCCAAAACAGCTGCAATATAGTTTCTCTCATTATTTCTCTTTACCACCAAATGGAAAAAACTTAGTACACTTATCATTATTTTCATGATAAGTACACTTAGCCTTTTGGTAATAGAAGCTTCTCTCCGATTCACTATAAAACATGGCCTCTTTTCTCAATCTAAATACCTCACATTGAAGATGAACATTAGTAGGATTACCTTGTAACACTTGTGTCTCTTTAAAAATTCTAGATGCGGCATCGGTCCTAGCTGATATATGTGAAAAATGCTTATCTTTGAGCCTCATAAGTGTCCATTTTTAAGACTTTGTAGCTTTTTACAAAGAGAAATTGCTTTGTTCCCACTATCTCTTTGTTCCAACAATCTTAAACAAGGTCAAAAAAAATTTCATGTTCCGTCCACATGTTTTCTTTGCTATCATCTTGTTGCAAAAGTGGCACGAAGAGTGATCTGATAGACATCTCAAAAGTAAAAATTCCACAATGCTATGAATCTCCGATTGCACCCAAACATCATTAATCATGGCTCTATCAATTTTTCTCCAAACCATAGTGTTGGTCCACGTGTAGAAACATCCAATAGACTTTATATCCATCAGCCTAACATCAAGACAACAATTCTCAAAGTCTTTAATTTCGTATAGTGTAACATCCACTCCATTACACTTTTCATCAAACCTAAACACATTGTTCACCCATAATCAACCACAGTAATGAGCAATTAGTTCTAAGCTCCATGATATTATTCCAAAAAGACCTACAAGCAACAATAGTATGGAAAGCTATAAAAAAACAACTTGGAAGGATATAGAAGTTACTTTGCATGTAATAATACAACGTATGGCTTATGCTGTTACCTTCATAACCATCACATCGGCCTTCAAGGGATCCAACAAGATCAAAATCCTACCTACATGATGCATGATAAAGTTATTCACTTGCAAGTGTCCCATAAACTTATTCCTCAATAACTTTTGTAGTATGTAGGCCCAAGTTTTGTTTCCGAAATTTCCATTACATCAATATTATGCGTTTTCATCAAATTTTGAACCCATTTTGCTTGAGAGGATGGTTTTAGAGCCTATCTTCATGATGATGAAGCAAGGAAAATTCCATTCTTCTTGTCTTTTATGGCCACAACCTTTTTTTGCTCTTCGAGCTTTCCTTTAAGTTTTTCATTGCTTATTGCTTTAGTGGATGTCCCATTCACATTTCAAGGCCCATCAGCCCTTGATTTTCCCATTTGAGTATTGTCATTAACCACAATCAGAATTGGAGTTATATGCGGCCCTATAGTTGTACACTTTTTCTTGCTAACAACCTCTGTGAATGGTCCATCATTTTGATCAACCTCCTGCCTTCGTTGTGTATCAACCTGCTGTTTACCACTTAGAACACCCACGTCTGAGCTTACCACATCAATTTGTCCTTTAAGTGTAGCTGTATCTGTCTGGGTTGGAGTTGCCGTAACAATTCGTTTAACCTGTGCAATCAAAACTGGATGAGCTAGAATACTAACAGAAATTTGTCCATTTTTCCTAGTGAAATCCGTCCATGCGTTACTAGCAGTGTTATATCCTCCTGTAACAACTTGTTGCTTCGTCCCAACCCATGTCTATTTAGCATTAGCCTGAGCAAACTGATTTAGCAAAGCTTCCAGGTTCTTGACGCTACACACTTCCATTCTATGGCCAAACATTTAGTAGGTGGCACAAAATTTTGGCTCGTGTTCATAGTTAACTAATCGATCCCTCGACTTTCCATTAGGTAAACTCATTTTCACTGACCATAGCAGCTCCTTAGAAGCATCAATTTCTACAAGGATTCTTGCACTTGTTAACCTCTCCTCAGTCGTTATGAGTAGATCAATAGAACTTGGTTTCCCAATCTTAGATGCAATCTTGCTCAAGACTTACAATTCCAACATTCCAAGGGTAACGCCAGTAGCAT